GTGGTGAATGTTCAGCTTGCCGAGAATCTGTTTCACCTTGGCCTCGTAGTCCCAGGCACCCAGATCGTCCATCCGTTCAATGGCGGCGCCGAGTACCGCGTGATCTTCCGATTCGCTGACTTGTTCGTAATGTTTGATAGCGCTGATCACGGGGTGATCGTAATGAAAGATATTCTCGAGTACTGACAGCTGTTCCTGGAAAACAGGCTCCTGCTCAAACAACGCAACCGTTACATCTTTATTGATCCAGGCCTTCCCGCTATCGGGCACTTCTGATCCGGACAGGATGCGGAGCAGGGTAGACTTTCCGCTCCCGTTTTTCGCTACCAGGGCAATCTTATCGCCCTCGGAAATATGAAAGGTAATGTTTTGGAACAGTGGTTTTACACCGAATGATTTAGAGATATTTTCTACGGAAACGTAATGCATGTAGTCGTTGGAATAAAAAGAAGGCAAAAGTAACAGGGTTACGGGTATTGGCCATAAAAACAATTTTCTACCGCTACCAGGCTGCATTTGTTATTAAAAAGATAATAAATGATTGATGTATTACGGAAGAGGAAATGTTTTTAACCATTTCATTTTTTATTTTTTTATTAAGATATTTACTTCATTCGTTAAAATGTCAATTTGTTTTTATTAAAATATTTTTATTATTTAATTGTATTTTGAATTTGTTCCGTATTGATTCCGTGTGGTATGAAGTATGCCCGGTCCTGGTTTATAAGCCAGGCTAGTTAAAGGCTGCGAAAGGTCCCCTGTTAGTTTGCAACTGTTGGAAAGATTTGATCAGAAAAAGATCTGATTACAATAAGTTATTATTAAAATAAATATTGTTCACTCATAAAACCAATCAACAATTAATGATGCAACCACTACAAGTCAGTAAAAGAGTGATGGGAATGATGGCCTTCCTGGTCTGTTTACTCCTGGCAAGCTCATCTTTGCGAGCACAAACGCCTATGTACGCTTTTGATGCCGGGGCCATTAACAACGCCTACCCGCTCAGTGATGCTACCAGGAATATGGTACAATGGCTTTATACGCCGGCCAGCTTTACTCCACTCATGCCTTCCGGTAACATCACTACTATTTATATCAAGCCGGGAGGGAGCGCAACCAACTCCACCTTTACCAATTTCACAATAAGAATAGGACATACAGCACTCTCTGCCTTAGCTACCGGCCCCTTCATAACTGGTTTGACTACGGTATTTACAGCCCCGACACATGTATTCCCGACGGTTACAAGTGGTGGCTGGTTGGCAGTGACCCTGCAGACACCATTCCCATATACTGCCGGATCAAATTTTATTGTTGAAATCAGTCACGGGGGATACCTGCGCGGTTTCAACCTCATGCAAGACAATTCATATATAGATAATCGTCTGTATG